AGACAACCCCGTAACAATATGCGTTTTGTACTGCTGTTACACAGCACAAAACGCATAAAAATGAGCTTCTGCCCAGGCATCGGTCCTGCGTAAAGGCGCATTAAACGTTTAAATTGTAACATCGCAGCCACATTCTAGCAGTACAGGCGATCACTCTACACAGGATGGAAGCACACAAATAAAGGTATGATCGCATCGGCAAACCTAGTGCATTGCTATCTGGGTTTTCTGTTATAAGTTGCAAATAAAATCTTCGCATGTTTCTTGTGGACTTTTAAAAGATAATTTTCGATAAAAATTGGCAATAGCGATTCCCTTCGCTCATAATTAAGAAGCAATCAACTTTTCTACATTTATTGTTTCATCTAAAAATGCTGCTGCACTGACTGGAGCAAGTTGAAGGACGACACTACGAAACATCGCCCGAAATACATGGCGCACCGTTTAATTCGAACTGTTTTCACTTTAGAACTAGAACTGACAATGGAAAAATGAAAACTAGCTAAATAGGCTGAAAATTTTAAGCAAATGAAATTCTCAATTGTTATATCACGTTTACGAGAGAACCATGTGTGACTAAGTCACTGGTACTTGAACGTCCATGAACAGTGGTTTTATACGGTCATGAAAAACACTCATTTAAAAACCGGGTGGATTTTAATCAAAATAGAGCAGTGCGGGCAGAGAGCAGCATTAAAACGGTTGAAAAATTATAACATTACAATGGTGTCCCGAAACCATTATACAGGTTGTAGTGAGCGAATAAACTGAGGTATTTGGTTTAAAAAGCTGGTGCCAGCTTCACCATCGGTAACAGCGCTTGGACCTGCATCCCATCCACCGCCAGCAAACTGTGAAATTCCTTTGGTAATTAAACCTATTATCATTCCAGCGCCTGATGGATTAATTACATGACGTCGCTGCGTTGGTGGCTGAGGTTGTGGCTGTGGGCCAACAAATCCTAATCCTCCAGGGTCCTTTCGACCGTCTGTCTCGGGTCGAAGTACACTTGCTGTTGGTGTCACTTCAGGAATTTCAACTGGCAGTGCAGTTTGTGTTTTCAGAAATTCTGGCTCCCAGCTGGTCGCTAGGAAAGGGGTTACTAATGGAACTGGCGTTGACTGTGTTTGTACAGCAATTGATGTGGCTGGTTGACGAGTGATGAAGAATGGCACAAACGATCCGGTTCCTGAAAATGCTTTATGTTTAAATTGGATCAAATTCCTCCGTGGGTGTTTTGCATATCTTCTTTTCTAGAACCATTTACTGCTGTGGAAATTTGAGAAATGTGATTCTATTTTTTTCTAAGAAAACTTCGTCGAATAGCAGCTCACTGATTTGTGCTTGCAACTAAAAATAGAATTGTCCAAATTTAGTTAAAACCCGTGGGGTGTAAAGATTTTTCACTAAACGTGACACGATTCGCTCGATGACGCATTTTGCTGGACAGAGTTAGAGCAAATTTGGCTGAAATAGTAGAAAACCTTTGCAGACGTGCGTTGCTCTCTCACATTCATCAGCGGTGTTAAACAAATTTCGATTAGTTTCAGGAGTTTTGCAACCTGGAAACCAAAACTGCTCGCAACGTTGATTTTCTCTGAAAAAATTAATTGCGGCACACAAAAAGTCTTATACGTGGAATTTTTAATTCAGGCTGGAACGCACCAGGCTCTCCGGTGCGATCATGCGTTTTTGCACTAAACCCGCAGATCGCTAT